TAATCAAATATGTCGGTGCTAGATATGGCAAGAAATGTAAACATTTTTTTTCGATTTCTCTGAAACGGAGCAAAAACGAGCATATGTCTATAGGACTTTTTTTCTTAGTTTTTTACTCCTCTACACGCTCCCGAAGTTTTGCCATTTAATTTGGAAACACCCTGTATATGCTAAAGTGATAAATACCTTAGAAATGTTTCGAAGTGCTTAAAAATAAAAATAATAGTTATAATAATTGTTGGCTTTTATGTATTGACATATTAACGTCATAGTGTAACGGCGAACTATTGAATAAACAGTTCTAAGTAAACACTAGAATTCGCTACCTAATAGCGGTTATAATATACCGACTGGTAAAAAAATCTTTTCTCTCTCTTTCTCTCTCTCTCTCTCTCTCTCTCTCTCTCTCTATCTATTTATCTATCTATGTATTTCTTTCTATATATATATATATCTTTCTATATATATATATATTGAGTAAAAGAAATTGCTTTTTATTAAAATAATAAAAAAGAATGTAGAATTCATTTTTTTAATATTTATAATAAAAATTTCATTTTTACATTATTTTGATATTATTTAATATCTTTTTTCTTTAAATGTGTCGAAACGTCTTTGCGTTGTTGCAATGCTTAATGAATCGATAATGTCTTTTCGAAACTGGATCTAATTGTAAGTATATATATATATATATCTATATAAACTACCCCTTTGTCATTGTATTAAATTTTGATTGTTTATAGCTATCTTTATACAGAAATCTTTTTGATAAATGAAAAAAAACCGAATTCTTGAATAATAATATGATGTCAAGTGTCCAAAAAAAATGCAAATCCGAATAAAGAACTTTCAGGTTGGAGTAAAAAGTAGGTTTTTACTGAACTTTTTACTTAAACTTTCTAGTTTTTATTTTTTTTTGTTTCTATTGTGAGTAATTTAATAAGAATTTCACATTGACTTTCTGAATAAATTTAATTTATTAGCGCACCGCATCTTATACTCTTAATAGCTTGTTATTATCATTGCGAATGATCGTATATATAAAAATTATTATTTTTACTAAATATTATTTGTTAAACGGAGAGGATATATTCTAAGCCTACTCGGCTTTTCTATCTCATTACGTGATTATAAATTATTATTCTAATTCTCATCTCATTAGAACTTGATGCGTTCAGCAAGGCAGATAACGAACGCTTTGTCGGATCAAAATGGGTGTGGAGGAATAAAGCTGACTGGGGCGCCACGATTGTTCCACTTTAAGTATCGCTTCGCATTAGCTACGACGAAGAAGCGAGCAATTTAAGTTATGGCCTGGCTCGACTGAGACTGCTCTCTTATCGCATTAACGTAGGAACTCCGTAAAATGCAGAAGAGCAGAGAGAGAGAGAAAGGGGAGGGGAGAGAGAGAGAGAGAGACAGAGAGAGAGACAGAGAGAATGCTCGGCTATACAACCGCGTCTAACATCACTGTGTTCATTATAAGGAAGGATCTTACCAAACTCACCATTTAGGATTATGCCGTCGCATGCAACACTTGCCACAGATGCAGGCTGAATACTTCTTCTTCGAGACTGCTCCTCCTTGAACTGGACTAGCTCCGTATGCTTTGAAACTAAGTAGCTATTATAAACTTAAACCATGAGACAGCTACAGGATGTACTTAAATGCAGCTCAATTGTTTAAATAAGGCGTTAATAAAATATATAAGTAAGAAATTAAATTGCACATTAATACGCAGAATCAAATGTCTACTTCAAATATCGCGGGAAGCACGTATCGATCTCGCTCTGCAGTTCGCACAGCTCCTACTGAATAGAAGCTTAGAAGCAATATTTCTTTTGCGGCACTCCATGCCAGTGTAAATAACTTGCTAATAAGAAAAGTCATTTTCCATTAACACGATTTATGCATCACGATGCAGACTACCATTTGATTAGAGATTTAATTGAAATATCGCTTTTCACAGCGGAAAATGTTTTCCAGATTGAGTTTGCTTCGCGGGGTATCTTTGCATCTGATTGTTTTACGTGATCGCTTACGCGAGAGAATTCAACAGTATAATAAAAATAAAAAAAAACAGATTGCTGGTATATTTGAAAAAAATAGTAAATTAAATAACTCGAAACACATTTTATTCGATAACAATAAATACATTTTATTTAATGTACAAATATGGTACATATTAGCTTTCAGTTTTTAGTTTATTTAAAATAAGGAGCCTTGTCATAATTTTTAGTTAGAATCTCGATGTCATCCTGATTATTAACCATTCTGTAAGAATGATAAGAACATTTTAGCTATAGATACAATTTAACTGCTGCATATATGCAATATATATAAATTTATTTACAATGAGTAAATTTATCTTTGATAAAAGAAAAAATAAAAGGTAATAAAAGTCAATTATGTTCTTTATAATTGTGGAGAAAAATAAACATAATATTTGCAGCTTTTATTAAGAACAGATAATCGATTAATATTTTATGTATCTGGAAATGACATAGATATTGATTTTAGTATACTTACGTTTGGCCATGGTATTGGCCAAGGTTGGTGAGGATTAAATGGGCCGTAGCCAGGACCGTTTGGTAACCGAATTCTATGTGTCAAGAGTGTATGAGTATCGGCAAACAGAGCGCAGATTGCAACTAACAGCATCACGATGTACATTGTAAACCTCATGTTGAATATATCGTTCTGATCAAGAAAGATTGTTACAGGAAAATAAAATGATATGTACATATACATTCTGATATTATTGCTTTCTCGATAACATTTTTGCACTCTTACAAAATAAAAATATCTCGTTATTTCTTAATTATTTTACGTAATTATTTAGAGCTCATAAAATAAATTAAATTAAATATTAAATTAATTTAATTTGTCTCTTCTAAAATATAAAAAACTGTTTAATAATATTATCAAGCCAACGTGTAATTTAAATTATTAAAAATTATACATGTATATACCAGCAAAATTATAAAACTAATGCTATCGTAAAATTATCGATAACACAGAGTTACAAATCCATTAAATCACGAGTCTAAAGATTACTGTACCTTAGTCTGTATCTTAGTCTAACTGTAATTGAACTCAAATTATGCTTTCTACATGAAGTACACATCTTTTATATATCGTTACCGTTTAATGTGTAAGATACAAAAACAGTGCAAAATCTAAGTCGCGGGAAATCCCTCGGACTTCGTATTATCGCAACTGTCATCGCAGAGGCACGCGGTGACGTCATATTCTTGATGATCTGACACGGTTTTACCCGCGTCATGTTTTATCAGCCGAAGCGTATAAACTTTTCGTATTTAGGGATTTCCCGTAGAAATTTGTAAATTAAATTATTCTTTCACGTTTTAACGTGACCTACAATAGCACAGTTTTTAAAATACTTTATTATTACTATCAGTGTTTTGGTAATCTCATTTTGGCCTTTTTATATTTTATGTATTTCTATAGTTATAGTTATAGTTTCTATAGTTTCTATAGTTATAGTTTATATTATTGCTGCATTTATTATTGTATAATGTATGAATGATAAACAAAAAAATGATAAAATTGTACTGATGATAACGGAAGAAAATACTTTTAATAAACTGTTTGTACATTGTTAGTAATTAAAATACCAAGCAATTTTTTTAAAGGAAAACATATATTCCTATTTATGTATCAAAAGTGGCGGAGTCTGTTTCGCAACAGACTATAGTAGGAAGAAAACAAAATTACAAAGAGAATTGTAATTGAGCCAGCAGCGCAAAAATAAAAGTTATTACGCCGTTGAAGCAAAGAACAGTTTATGCAATGGTAACAAACAATCGAGAGGATAAAAAAGTTGTTTTGCGAGATATACGAGAAAAAGGTATAATACAAAAATAGCGAAAAGAAATATATGCGTATATGTGTATATGATCACGGAATTTTTAAATAAATATACTTCGATATTATCTGAAGTTTGCAAATCTATAGGGAAGGAAATTTTAATGTATGATATTAAATGTCGTATTTTCGAACAGTATCACATGCATATATCAGTAGAATTGATACACTTTACACGAACTCGCGTTCATGGACTAAAAAATTAAGCATACGACTCTCGTTCATGAACCATAGATAAACACTTATCACTAAATGGCAGCGTGATATGAAAATAACTTCGAGCTGCTCGGGAAGATTACCTATTTTCAGAAGCACGTGCAACTCGCGTAAAATTATGGGAATATCTATCTTATAAGAATACATTTTTCAGTTGCGAAGGGGCTCCGTTGCGACCGAGGATATCGACGCGGCTGGTACAGAACAGGAACTTTTACTTGGGCATGAAATATAAGGGCGGCTAGAGTTTGAGGTCGTTTACTCGTTGATACGGGAAAGCTGAATAGTACCTCTTGAAGAAACTGATATATCTCCGAAACCTTAGTCCTCGGTCTAAAATCCGACGTTTCTGCTATAATGTTCTTGCTTCCTTAAGCGTACGCTGAGAAGAAACGGATAAATTAGGATGTATTAGGATTGATTAAACAAGCAACTCTTTATTGTCGTAGCCGCATATACGTGAACCATACACAATTAGAAAATTTGTGTTAAATTTAAAATTTTATGTTCTAAACAGTCCACTCAAATTTTTGTTTAAATTTAACACAAGATAAATATATTAGAATGTGACACAAATATTACATAAAAATTAACACAAAAATGTAACACTTTGACATAATTTAAAAATAAATTATAGAAGAATATTTCTTTAGTAAAATTAACTCTTCGGTTCCACTTTATACGTTTTATCACGTATCTATCACATGGATATTATATAAAAATATCGCACAAATTGAACGCATTATAATAATATTTTTAATATTAAAATATCAACTTTAAAGACCGCGATGTAAACAACACAACAATTAAGAAATAAAGGCTGAGCAGCCAAGCTAGATCTTAATGCTAAAAACAATTCCGTGTAAAATTCCGTAAAAGAAACAATTTTTTTAATTAAAACGTCAGACATTAAAGAATAAAACGGTAACAAACAAATGTATACATCTTTATTAAAATAAAAAAGCTATAGTATATGAAGTAAATGAAATCTCGAATATGCCACATCAAAAGTGGCACCAAAGAGATAACATTTTTGATATGTTAAATTAATTATGCTTATCTTTTATTTATTTATCTTAAAATTTACATTTTGAAGCTGTACTATTTTTATGTTATTTGTTCACTTACTTATAAAATGTGTTACTTTAACGCTAAGAAATGTTATAAATATCAATTTAACACAAAATATTCAAATAACGCAATCACATCATGTTAAATTAACACTCGGATATGTTAAAAATTCAACATAATTTTAACAAGATCGATTTTAATACAAATACAAAAAGTTTTTTACTTTGTGGAAATACTGATAATTATATGCGTGTTACGGTTCTAACTAAGGGAATAATCGATGAAAAACAGGAAATTTAAAATTATTCCAATGTGTATAGCATTATTCTGTTTTCATTGATTGCAATTTGTTCAATTACGTTACTAATTATGTGCAAAATAATTTATTATTTGTTTAACAAGTGTGGTATAACGAAGTAAATTCGCAAAATACATAAAATAATTTGTCTGTTTTCATTTTATCGATTCGATAATATTCTCTTTATAGCTCTGCGATCATAAATCCACAAACAGATTTATGATTATAAACTCAATTATCGCATTGCGATGAGTGTTATATTGTAAACACTCATTTGTTACAAAAGTACACTTCACGAACAGTTCACTGGATAAATGATAAGAGTGTATTACGTCAAGTTGATATGCGTAAAGATCGCGTTCTATTTTCACCATGATCCGTGTTATGGCATCATAACGATAACGTAATCAGCCAGGCAGGCATAACGGTCGATAATTATCTTTCACTAAGTTAGCGTCCATAAGGAGCGACGTTTTATGGAGTCCCGTGGATTGGGGTTATTACCTATACCGAACAACTATCCTGGGGAAATATTTTATGGAGCAGTTCAGTGGTAATGAAGGTGTTTACATGCGGGCAAGAAGGCGTCTCGCCGGGTAGGTAATTAGGACACCCTCGTCTACCTACGCGATAGGCATTGCCAGAGGTAAATGCAACCGGGTGCACATGGAGCTGGGCGGTGCACTCGTTATTTCAGGGCTTCCGCTCGTATAATGTATTAGCGTAATTAGCGTTATCAGATTCACGGACAACGAGGAGTCACTCGTTTATAGGATTGCGAAAACCGATGCGCAACCGATTCGAATCCTGGGAAAAAGTCGAACGTAACGAAATTGCGTCCGGGATATTCATCGCGATAAAAGCAAAGAAAACGTTTTAAAGTATCTCGTAGTTCTATTTCTCGTTTTTAGAGGAAAAACCAAAGTAACGAACGCATTTATATGCATCCTTATAGCATATTTTACAACGTAGTCAGTAATATAATATCAGTAAATTTCTTTGCATCGATTTGAAACAACTTTCGATCGCTATGCTTATAACAAGGAACAAGATACAAAGAATTTGACAATAAATGTTTAAATAATAGATTTAGATTTTTATTTTGATGTCTTTTTTTACAAAATATTCATCGCCTTCGTCAAACACTCGCCACTCCATTATAAATCAGTAGTCATTTTACAAAATCAAATAAAGTATCAGACGCATCATTTTATATAATGTCAATATAAATAGATATCATAGAAGTCATCATTTACGTTTAAATCATGGTTAATTGCATTATCTCTTTTCAATGAGGAAATCTGATTTGCGGATTATACCGTCCCTGACCAGGGAAAGTCGGGAAAGGCTTCCAGCCACCTGGAGGCGGTTTCCTGACCGGTGATTGATACGTAAAGACTGACATTACTGCCAAGAGCAGAGTGAAGATAAACAAGTGAAATTTCATATTGCGTTCTGTTTCTGAAAGCCAAAAATATATATACTTATACATATATGTATATACATAAATTTAAATATCGAGTCGGAGCAATCACACACAAAATGATATAAGCTGCATAACACCATAGTATAAGGCCGCTGAATCAATAAGCATCCAACATAAAGACGCCATGTTGATTTACATAAGATCATGCATCTAGCAGCTTGTATAATTTTATGTGTGATGATCCTTAGATATCAAATTATGGAATAATTGAAGGCATAATATATTTGAAACACTGTTTTTAAGACATTTTGTAGTGAAACATATTGAAAATGTAAAAATATGGAATTTCATAATATTAATTCAAAATTATTACTTTATAACAAATAAAAGAAACAATATTAATTAATTATATTATAGAAAAAGATATAGAGAAAATTATATACATATACTATAATCTATCTGCACATCATTACGTTCACTATATTTATTTTGTACGTATACTATAATTTTTTTCTTTATATATCAATTATAGTATATAATTTTCTCTCTTTCTATATTTAAAATATATATAATAAAGAAGATGTAAATATACCTTGTTTAACTTATGTTTTCTCGTGGATATATCGCTTTAAAACCTTCCGATGTCTTCTCACGCTTGCAAATTAGAGAAGTGTGATACTGTCGTTTCCAAATGTCGTTATATATCCTCACTAACATATTATATACATACTTCATCATTATTGCGCGTGCTTTATTTCGCTGGCGGGAAGTACCGAATCTTATCTCACTCGTAACAGTCAGCGACGTTCTTTTCATACTTATCAAATGAGAATGTGTATATACATGCAGGGGAAAAACACGTTTCTCTCTATTTCCCGACACTTCCTCGGCGTATGAGAGAATGTCTCGCACATGGAGGTAGAAATTCAAAGAAACTGGAATTACCGAAACGTGCACGTGTAGGAGAGATAGGGGAATCTCCGTTAAACATGCAGACTTCTAATTTTCTATCTTGATTCTCTCTGTCATTGTGTGTTTTTGCGGAAAACAAATTGCTCGTTTGCTACAACAACAATACAATTGTCAAAAAACAAAATTTCCCAGAAAATGAGTTCAAAAGTTTTGAACCATTAAAACGTAATTTTGAAATGCAAATTGTAGAAAAATTAAAATACGTAATTTTAAAGCATACCTTTTCTTCCTTCTTTGTTTCTTTTTCTTTTTTTTTGCAAGCAATTAAAAAAT